GGGGGGGGGGGGGGTGTCCCCGTGGGAACCAAAGTGAAACGGAGGAAGTCAATGAATGTGGCATCGTGCCAAGGCAAGACACAGTCAGCCAACACGACACGCATTCATTTTGAGCTCTGTCTGTGACGTACAAGGGGCTTATGGATACTTTGACACCCTTGCCACCAGACAGAGCCACTGATTACATTTCAGTAGATGTTGAATGAAAAATACAACATGGCAAGAGGCTCCGGGGACCGAAAGCATCACATTAATTATCCCTTTGATACATGAGCATTTGTGTTGGTTGTAGTGTAATTGGTGTTGCACGGTTCCACATGAGCCTACATGTCAACGTAATGTTCATTACTAAGCCATTATATGACATCCGGATGACTCATATTCATAACGACTGAGATGTCAAGGAGGAAAATTTGAAATTTCTGGGTTTCATGTCAGAGCTGGGATGCAAAACAGGGTTGTTTCCCACTGCTACGGCTAAAAAAGCAGCCAAAATGCATCACGGGTAGCCAAGCCGACAGCGCTTTGGAGGATTCTGAGAGGAGAGAGGAAAATAACAACCCTGCCAAACCCATCGGAGAATCAGGAAAGCATGACTGAGCCTAGCATCCCAGCACGTAAGCAAGGCGACGGCTAACTACGGTGTCCACTAACTGCTCGCCAGCAATGCATAGGCTTTGGACTTCACACAAACCCAAGGGTCCATCCAGCACAGTAACATATGAATCCTATTTAGAGACCAAAAGCGTGGCTGAAACTCTATCAGGCTCATTATTCCTTGAAATCTGTAAACACAACACCCATTAGGACTCAGTTTAATGAACGATTAAAGATGTACATACACATCTGAACTCTCAAAGAAACATTTGCTAAATCCAACCTGATTTGATCTTGCTGAACACTTTAAAATGTCAAATAAGACCAAGAAGCTCAATAGTTTGATTCAGAGCAAATTGTTAAAATAGAACAATTAGAATAGCGTTTTAGCAATCCTCTTCTTCCTACAAATCACAGTTGTTGGTATAAAAAAATGAGTCAGTTGATGTCACACTTATTCACTAATAACGCAATGTGCCAAGTTTCCCGCTGAGTAGTTTACACTGGCTTACCTTTCATGCCAAACTTTGAGCGTCTGCCATATTTGTTGATTAGCACAAACATAACGACAAGGAGAACGCAGGCGAAGCCAGCCAAGCCAACTGCAATCGACACCTAGAGAAGCAGGAAACACAACATTTCATTTATTCGATGAACCAAATTATGAGATGAGAGCCAGATTTATGAAAACCTAAACAGTCAGGTTAGCAGTGATATAGGATTACTGTACGTTTGGAGTTGAATGCTAGCATACTTAACCATGGTTAATTTTCGTAAGGGACTGCAAAAGTAAACGGTTTACTGCCTGCTAATTAAAAGAAAAATGTATATGAAACACTACTCAATATAAAAGGCTAAAACAAACATTTGCATGCTACATTGTTGTTGTGATGTCTCATCACGTTGCATGTTTAATTCCCACAATATATGTTTAGCTATTTTGACTTTTTAATCAAAGCCTGTGCACAAAAAGCCTTAACAAAATCAAATAATGGTTCTCATTCACAAATGTGTGACATACGTTTGTAAAGAAAAAGGTTGTGCGTTTATGGAAAAGGTTTAGACATGTTTTATGCAAATGGAGAACCCTAATTTATTTAGATTAGAATGAGGTCAAGAACAAATTCATGTGGCAAGGTATTTGATGTAGAAACATTTGGTGAGAAGTTCTCCTGTGTGCACAGATATGAAATAATCCTCGCAATTATTAGTGAATGAAATGCACTGAGTCTAGTAAGAAGTCTCTTCCATTCTCATTATTCACACTGGAATGAAAGGTCAAGTCAAGCGCATTGCATCGTGGGAAACCGTATGCTCGGTTGCACATTTTGGCAAACATAGTAGGTCATCTGGGTATTCTACATGTATGCATAGAGAACATTTGCATTCTGTTTACATTCTACACACTGTAAAACACATTCAAGCTATAACTTTAGCTTGAATCTCAAAACACGTCTTATTTGTTAATATAATAACTTATAATCTAAAATGATTTTTTAAATCTTTTTAGGAGGGAACTACAGTAAAGGAATGACATAACTAGCAACTTAAAATAAATCAAATAAATATTTCTATCTAATCTCTTGTGTAGTAATATTTTGTGTAGGAAACCTATAAAGTGTGTCTTGACTTGTTTATATGATTTGTATTGATGTTGATGCTGTAATCATGAGAGATTTATGTAATTGGAGTCATAAGTTGCATATGGCAGCGGTAGCTTTGATAAGTTGCATGAAAAGATAAGTCCAAAGCCTATAAAAGGGAAAAAAATTATTATAATAATAATTCAGGTTAGGTGTCGTAAGACAGAGATACCGCTATAACCAAGATACACTTCCTTATGGGAAATACAAAGTGTACAACTTAATATAATGTCTAAATGCTCCAGATAAACACCAAATAAAGACAATAAACAATAAATCAAAGCAGTCAGAGTGCTGAAATAAAGCTAGCTGAAGCAAAAAAGCTTTTCCTGTAATTAGGACCTCCAAACAATCGAGGGCCATGCTCACTCTGTGTCAGCGCTAGATTCCCTATTAAAACCTTCAAATGAAAATATAATCTCTTTCCAGTCAATTATAGCACAAAGATGAGCAAAAGTATTTTTTAAGCAGCTGTAAAACACAGAAGCCACAAGGGAACCGGCAGATATGAGGTAGAGAATGAGGAGGAAAAAAAGGCACAAAAAGAAAATGGTTTAGAATAGTTTGTTTTCAACACCACTGTCATGTGTTCCTGGGAACAAGATGTTCAAGAAACCTCATTATACTTCATATGGGTGCTTTCGATCTCAGGAGAAAAAAACAACACTCACTCCAAATGTGTCCTCTTCAGGCCGATGTGTCATGGTTGGAATAGCTGTCGGAGTCGGACTCACTAGAAAACAAACAAGAGTGTAGTGTTGCTCAGAAAGAAGAAAGAAGAAGAAGAAGAAGAAGAAGAAGAAAAATATATTTTTGATCCTTTTGAAGATAAAATAATACTACAGTACAAGGACATACTGTACATTACTGTGACCCCAAAATGAGTAAATGACTAATGTTTTCACATTGTGCTTTGATCAGTTCAAATGCATCCTTGCTGAAGTATTCATTTATTTTGGGAGGTAAAGAAAAAAGTACTAACAGAAGAGTTTTGAATGGTTCATAAAATTATAATTTGATAGAAATGTAATACAATTAATTTAATACAAAAAGGTACAATTATATGTCTAATGTTATATAAAAATACCTTACATTTGTTATATTAAAATACTGATTGGAAAAAAATGCTATATCGAAATCTTGAGACAGTTTACTTCCAACTTTAAATTAAAGTATTATACAATGAAAGTATGATACTATGAATGTATGATACAGTAAGTAGGTAGGGTGGTAGGTGGGTAGGTAGGTAGGTAGGTAGGGTGGTAGGTAGGGTAGGTAGGTAGGTAGGTAGGTGTGTAGGGTAGGGTGGTAGGTAGGTAGTGTGGTAGGTATGGTAGGTAGGTAGGTAGGTAGGGTTGGTAGGTGGGTAGGGTGGTAGGAGTGGTAGGTAGGTAGTTAGGGTGGTAGTTAGGGGAGGTAGGTAGTGTGGTAGGTATGGTAGGTAGGTAGGTAGGTAGGGTTGGTAGGTGGGTAGGGTGGTAAGTAGGGTAGGTAGGTAGTTAGGGTGGTAGGTAGGTAGGTAGGGTGGCAGGTAGTGTAGGTAGGTTGGTAGGTAAAACAAAAGTTGACAACCAAAAATGTCCAAATTCTGTTTAGCTATATTTTGAAAACTATATGTACAGTATATGCGTGATATTGTTTTATCATTTAAAATTGCTTAAAATATACATTTTAGAGCCACTGTATAAGTAGCATAGATTTGATTTTCCCCCCATGTCATTTTCAATTAATTTTCACTAACTACTAATCCACAAACTTGTTATTAAAACAGGCCATAATGTAATTGGTTTTGTCAAACCAGCCTTTAAAAGGTGATGGATGTATTGTGTGTTCCCTCTGAGTAACTGTTTTAAGCCTTGCTCTTGGAAGGCCACTTCATGCAGAATTGATCTCCAACACACCTGCCTGGAAGTTTCTAGTATCCGAAGACCTTGATTTTCTGGTTCAGGTGTGTTTAATTAGTGCCAGAGCTAAACTCTGCTGGAAGGTGGCCCTCCAGGAACAGGACTAGACAACCCTGGTTTTAAGAGAACCTTCAGGGATTATTCACTAAATATGTCTAGGGGCAAATACTGTTTGATTAGACCCGTTTTTTGCAAGGTTACTGCCATTTCGACAGGGAGTCCAATCCTAGATTAGGCAGTCGCTATTATTCATGTAGTATTGAACAAGAGCCTTAGGCTGTTCTTATTTTTCTGTTTTTTTACCTCGATGGAGGGCCCGTGTGTACGGCCTCATACAGCCATCTAACTTCATTCAGAGCTCTGACAGTAACAATCTGTCATTCACACAGTTTCTGTGCCTCAACTTGATTAAATATGTTAAACTAGGGTGATATCAGTGCAACATTCTTGTGAAGGTCAGTAAATGTCCCTCGGACAGTATCTTGTGGAAAAGGATCTGATTTTTCTCCCATACTGACAGATATCGGTCACATTATGCCAAAAATACAAAACAGGTCTAATAACAGCATGCCCAAATATGGTGGCCGGCCATTTGAGAATAAGGCCAAGGTAATTGTTTGGAGCGTAGTTGTATGTTCATTGCACAGAACAAATTACTTTTTTCTAAATCATTCTTTGTTTTATGATAAACAAAACTAATGAATAAGTTACAAAAATACATGTAGCAAACAATTAAAGGGAGAAACTCACCATAATCTGGGTAGTCTACAGAGAAAAGAGGGGAAAAACACACACAGTGGTATATAATTACTACTAGATATGAATATGTCAATATCAGCTCTAAGGACTCAGGTAAACACATTTTTAAAATGTTATTATACTATGATCAGCATTTACCCTTCAGTGCATTCTTGTGCAATTATGGTAATGTTCGAATACGAGTCTTTTAGAATTTAATATGAGAAATCATTGCAATATTTAACATGCAATTAAACATTATATTGATGTGAAATCAGACATGAGGGCATTATATGATCTGCATGGATACATGTTCATGTGCACACAATATCAGTGCCGTGAGGTTCATAATTAATGAAAACACTAGTATATACTGTATATCTGTTTTTGAACAAAATGCTCACCAAGACTGCATTTATTTGATCATAAATACTGTTAATATTTTGAAATCTTATATAGCGTCTGGACCAATCAAACACACAATATATATTTTGTTAGCTAGATTTAACAAATACTCTGTAACCCCCCTCAGTTAACAAGCCATATGAGGACCTATGGACCCTTCCCCCCGAAATGCGTAACACCCCAGGAAGCCGAACAGGCCCCTGGTTCCATGGCAACCAACACGGATTTCACTGGGTTTATTGCCCAGAGGAATGTGAGCAGAGAGACTCTCACTGCATTTTCCATAGCAAGAGGCACAATGCACAGTAGAAATTGACTTTTCTACTAATTAATTCATAGGAAAACCTTTCTTTGAATGAACAGTGTATCCTTCAGGTCATTGTGTATATTATTGTCATCATGTATTTTGTCTTTGAGATTGTATACTGTTTTATGCAGGCTTATGATCGAAACACTCACTCCTGTCAGCTTAC